CAGGGTTCCCCAGACCACCTTTAGGAACTACTGACCTATAGTTATCCCAAAGATGCTTTTTCATGAGGCAACTGGACTTTTTCTTTGAAGACATTTCGCTTCTCATCCAGGAAGCTTCTTCAGCTCTGACTGGATGGTGGGGAAATGGAAGGATTTATACTCCTTGCAGACAGCTGGTCATTTACATTCTTTTAGCAAGTCATTAGTGCTACCACCTGTGTCTTCAGGGTCATCTGAGTAGTGCAAATAGGAGTGGAGCCTTCTTGAAACTTTTGAAAGGACTGTATTGTAGACTGGAGATAGATGATGTCGTATCCCTCCCGCTCTGTTGAGAGAGGGCTGTTTAATTTCGACATAGATGGCCTCTTTGACCCCTTTTTCAAACCAGCGGTCCTCTCTGTCCAAAATGTGGACTTTGCTGTCTTTGAAAGAGTGGCCTTTGTCTTTTAAATGAAGATGGACTGCTGCATCTTTGTCCTGATGCATTTGCTCTCTTATGATGCAAACCATCAGGATAATATTCAGCAGTTCGGTTGAAAAAGCACTTTGGGGATAACTATGACCTGGATGACTGAGAATCTCCATAGACATTTACTGACCTATAGTTTTCTTTCATTTTTTCCTACTTGCATTCCCACAGCATCCTCTTTCTTATAAAAAGCAGGCAAGAGGCCTTGACTGCTTCCAGAGCAATTTTCAGCCATCTTTTTTTTAAAAAGCTATATATTCACAAGACTTTCTGGTTATTAAATCGGCCCCATTCTGAGTTTACACAGTATACTAAAACGAAAGCCAACCAGAGGCTGTTTCACACAATATACAAGTCTATATATGACCAGCTAGTTTGTGGTTTATGAATGCCAGTATGAAGTAATGGTTAAGGCATTAAGTTAGAAACTAGGAGCTTTGAGTTCTAGTCATCTTAAACAGAAAGGCAGCTGGGTGACTTTTGGATCGGTCTCTCTCAGACCTAGGAGAAGCAAAGGCAAACCACTTCTGAAAAACCTTGGAAAGAAAACCGCAGCGCCATCACCAGGAGACAACAAAGAGCACGCTGAAATGGGCTTCGACAGCTTTGTCAAGGTACCGGACGTCGAAATACAAATGGACAAATCGTATTTTTTATGTGTTAAGAACCTGGCCTGGATGGTTGGCGTGACCGTGCAAAACACAGCCAGAGGGCACCAGAGCGCGTGGCATTCGCTATCTCAATCACAGCACGCGCCTCCCCGACTGCTGGGAACGGGGCAGAGCCCTTCAGCCTCACCTGCGAGAGACGCTTACAGGACGGTGTAGTAGGCAGGTCCAACGGAAGCCATCCTCAAGAGCTGGAGTGGCAGCGCCGTCCGGCTCATTCCTTCCCTTCCACAGGAAGCGACAAAAAGAAGGCCTGCACTACGCCGCTGCCAGTCAAAGCCCAGCTCACCTGTAGATCGCCTTCAGCGGGCCCCGCCCATGGTTCCTAAGAAGACACGCGAGAATGCAAGTTCTACCGTGGAGGATACCTTTCCAGTCCTTTTTTGATCCAAACTGGGACCCGGTGGGACAGGACTTCCGCTCTCCCTCCTTTTCCGCTTGGCCACAGAAAACATCCGCACAAGCTGCCCAGAAAGGCCATTTTCATGCCTTGACGTCATGCCGTAGCTGGGCGGGGCTTGGGTTTCTGCCTCTTCTCCAATCACGTTTGAAGTGGCTTTTTCCTCGCCTCGTCTTCTCTGTTGGCTGAAGCTGGAGGTGGGGGACGTGTCCTAAAATTAGCTAGGAAATATTTGCAGGAAAGGAAGCACCAGATTCGGTTTTCATTTACCCATAATGGCTGCTTTCATAAGAAACGCTGACTCTTCCAGTGATTTTCAAACTTGGTAACTATGTGGACTTCAACTACCAGAATTCCCCAGCCAGCACGAAGTCCCACATCTTAAAAATTGGCAACTTTGAAAAACATTATTCAGAGTCTTTCAAGCCTGGATTTGGGGTCAAAACATCATTAATGTTCAGCTCCCTAGATATGCTATTGGATATGGTACTTAACTAAGCAAAACATTTCTGAAAAACTTTGCTAACCAAACTACAGGGCCTTGTCAGGCATTCTCTGAGAATTGGACACTATTGAACGGGGCAAAACCTTCCAGAGAGGATTATTTTTAATAGAGCTTATAATTTATAAATGAGGAAAGGGTCCCTGCCTAGCAAATCAGTTGGGATTTGGTTAACAATGGGAACAGCTGCTGAGATCAGTGTCACTAAGCAATGCAGTCATGTGGTGTTTCACTCTGATCACATCACTTAATGCTGGAAATTCCAGTCCCAATTACCATTTATAAACCAGGCACTACCTGTACATCCTTTTTTGTTGAGCATCAGAACCTAAATAATTCCTAAACCTAATTTACTGTATATAGTCTCTCAAACCACAATGATGCATAAGTTCAACTTCCAGTGGGTTTAGACCCCATAGAACAGCGGTTCTCAACCTGTGAGTCACGACCCCTTTGGGGATCGAACGACCCTTTCACAGGGGTTGCCTAAGACCATCGGAAAACACATATTTCCGATGGTCTTAGGAACCTGTCTCGCTTTCAACTCCCCCTAAAATTCTTCATTCAGGCAGGCTTCCAGAGTTCGGCCGGCAGGATGCAGGTAACCCCTCCCCCCTGTCCTTCCGCCTTCCACGGCACCGTGCCGCTCCATATCCCGCGTCTCAAGCCTCCATGGCACAGAACCGCTGGCGTGGTCCCCAATGGTCGCTGACACGCTCCCCGCCGCCAGCGACCATGCAAGCCCTGGCAATTGCTCCAGCCGAAGAAGTGGGTGGTTGGGAGGACGCTGCGGCACCGATCTTCTGCGCCCGTCAGCTGGCGACCCCCTGAATGTGCGCTTGTCAGCTGGGAGGTCTGGCGATGGAGCAGGCCGGTGTGGAGGGTGATGGAGAGGTGGCGGCTCAGGCGGGTTCCTGCCTGCCCGTGAATGTTGGGCTCACGGGGCTTGACACAGAATCAACGGTCCAACATAACTTCCGGGAATCTCTCCCGCCCGTGTCCCTTCCCCCCCCCTCAAGCGACAACAGGAGGTTGCAAACAACTAAGTCAGCCGGTGTAGGAAGCCCTGGAATGGCCAGTCCAGGGCACCTGATTGCAGTGCTGGATGTCTTTTGCTCCTCCTAGAAGCCGGTGGCAAGAGAAAGAAGTCGTTCAAACTTCAAGCTAGCTACTGGACGCCTATTCACACTTGTTTTTCCCTTTTTTTATTTGAGTACTTGTCTGCCAGCCCACCCCATCTGTAAAAGTAAAAGTCTTCCACCCAAGCATAACTTTTAAGGATTTTAAGGATCTTTGAGAGGAAGAGAGGGAGAGAGAAATAGAGAGAGAGAGGGAGAGAGAGAAAGAAAGAGGGAGACAGAGAAAGAGAGAGAAAGAAAACCATGTTACTAATTAGTAACATGGTTATTAAGGGAATCTGTTTTCCCCCATTAACGTTGCTTGTCAGAAGGTTGCAAAAGGCGATCACATGACCCTGGAACAATGTGATCATCATAAATATGAATCAGTTGCCAAGCATCAAAATATAAATCACATGACCCTAGGGATGCTGCAACGGTCATAAGTGTGAAAAATGGTCATAAGTCACTTTTTCAGTGCCGTTGTAACTTTGAACAGTCACTAAGCGAACTGTTGTAAGTCAAGGACTAATGTTGCCATATTCTAAAAGTGGTACAATCGGTGAAAAGGTTGAAAAGCCCTGCACTAAAGGACCAATTATTTCCTTCACCTTTTTCTTGTTTTTTACATGTTGAAAGAAGCTTTTTTTGTTATTTTTGACCTTGGTCGCAAGCCTTAGTTCATTTTGAGCCTTAGCTTTCCTCACTTCATCTTTGCAGGCTCAGGCTATTTGCTGATATTCTGACTTAGTATACAGATTTGTATACTTCTCAGTCATGCCATTTTTGTTGTGCTCTTGCAAAGACTGCCCCAAGAATTTCTGATCTGGTGAGAAAGAAGCAATCTCAACCTTCACACTGACATTGGCTTTTTACACATACTGTCGCAAAATGTAGCAATGTAGTTTACTGTTGTTACATTAAGACACCCATGCTACACCATGCTTCAAGACAAAATTTTATTTATTTGTAATTTGAAATAAATATTTCACAATATATTACATATAATGCTTTAATTATGTTCAATTTGTAACAATGAAAATACATCCTGCATATCAGATATTTACATTACGATTCATAACAGTAGCAAAATTACAGTTATGAAGTAGCAACGAAAATAATTTTATGGTTGGGAGGTCACCACAACATGAGGAACTGTATTAAAGGGTCCCGGCATTATGGCATAGAAAAAGATCTGACTATGTAAATCTGATGCTTTCAAATGTAGATGGAACTAGCCACATTCTGCCTCCTAGTGGTCGTCCAAAGAAAAGAATCCTATGAAAAGGATACACAGGATTACCACTTTCTCTATTAGAGAAAATAGATAATTCCTTATCCTTGGACACAAGATGGGAGTGGAAATCATGCATCGACAGAGCCCGGCTCCCAAGGCAGATTTCCAGGGAGAGACAGTCAAATCTCCCGGGACCTCCTTTTTCTGTCCTATTTAAGCGGCTTCTTAAGCGGATGTTTTGGGTTTTTTGCAAGTCACAAGGGAGACAGCCAACAATTCTGTATTAAAACATATCCACGGAATGCGTTCCTTGTAAGAAATAGCGCCGCTCGTATTGTGCATTGTTAAATTGCGATTTTAAAAGACGCTGGTTAAAAAAACACACCTGTTCAAAGTCTGCTTCTTCTGCAACATTTCAGAAGGAAGGGCTATCTCTTTTTTTGCCCGCAAAAGGCGTGGGCCGTTCTATGAAGAGCAGGCCTTCCCGGTAAAGGAGAAACAGCCTGCTTAGTTTACGTAGATTTGTTGCTAGGGCGCCTACCCCGCACATGGAGGCCTTCACCAATCAGCCACCAGGAACCGAAAGTGTGTAGAGAACACCTAAAGCCGCCTCCTCTTGAAGCTAGAGCGGCCGAGCAACCATGGCGGCGTCGGCAGGGGCGGCCTCGGGTTCCGTGTGGTGTTGCCTGCGCTGGGCTTGTTGTGGAGAAGGCAGCGCCGGTCACATTCCTCTCAAGGAGATGCCGTCGGTGTTGCTGGACACGCAACAGATGGGTAAGGGCAGCCGCCCTCCAAGGATTGGCGCGCAGGGATAAATCCCCCTAGAAACTGCACCTTTAAAGAACTCGAAACGCGCCCTGTTCGTTTCTAAATCTACGTTGAACTTGTGCCGTTAAGGAAACAATATGTTCAAATTTCTGTTTCGATGTTTGTAAAATTTTAAATTTGAAAAGTGTAAAATTTCCATGCTTCTGTCCCCGTCAAAGAAGGCTTGTTTTGCGCTAAACGAGTAAAAGGTGGTAGTATCTGTTTAATTTACTATTTTAATAAATGGAGGATTGCATATTTATTCACCACTTGATTTCAAAATGCATTCTTACGTATACGGTATCAAGGAAACTACAAATCTGTTATATATTTTTTATCATGAAGTAATTATATTGATGCACTCTACTACAGCTAAAGTTGTTTACGAGTTAACCTTAGAAATGTAAACAAAATATTCGTTAACAAAATTGATCTATATGATTAATATGGAGGCAGCACCGAGTCTCCTTCCCTATTTAAATATGTGGCTTTCACATGTTATTTAAGAACAGATTCAAAATAAAACTGCCAATTTTTAATCCGTTTAGAAAAATCTGTGCAAGACCAATACTTAGAAAATTGACTATAGTTCTGTTTGTTCCTTAAAATTGTAAAATGGGCAGAAAATGTGAAGAGAAATTATGAGGTTGAAGTACTACAGTTGGGAGAGTTTATAGCAAGGAAAATTGGTGGGTAAATGGGAACACGATGGATTTTCTGTCTTTTGTGGGCTCCTCCTTCCTCTTATTCTATCTATATGAAATCACTCTTGGAGCTCAACAGTGGAGGTCAGGAGTCATCAGTATGCAGGTGATAGTTGTATACAGTATCTCAAACTGGACCAAACAGAAGATGCAGCTGAGCTGCTATTCCAGTACCCAAAAACTGTGAGGGATGACTAAAACTTAATTCCAGCAAGATTGAATGGCTTTTGGATATGGAGACCCAACTGACACCAGATTATTTCATATTAGATTTTGGGTAGGATTAACACCTTTATTCTTAACTGTTTCATAATTTTGAAGGTCTTCTTAGACCAGTGGTTCTCAATCTGTGGGTCGGGACCCCATTTGGGGTCAAACGACCATTTCGCGGGGGTCGCCAAACAAGGCAGTCTGCCATTTTTTCCCCCTTTTCCTTAGCTGCGCTACTCCCTTTTATTCTATTGGCTTGAAAGCCAATAGAATAGACTCTCTTGAATAGAGTCTAATTCTATTGGCTTTCAAAAGCCAATAGGAATTGTCCAGGCTGTCTCTGCCCTGCTGAGCCCACCAAAAGTCCCATTCTGCAAACGGTGCTGCACCAGTTGAGTAGTCCTCGACTTACGACCGGTTGGGGGTCGCAGCATTAAAAAGATTGAGAACCACTGTCTTAGACTCACAGCTCCTGCTTAGAGGCATCTGTGGCGAAGCAGACTTTTGCAAAAGTTCATCTGGTGTTACTTCCATTCCTGGAAAAGAAGGTGCAGTTCATAGTCATCAGTGCTTTGGTTACCCTACAGACTATTGTCATGTATTGCCTACATGGGGCTGGCCTTGAAGACTTTTCAAAAGATACAGCTAGTCCAGAATAAAATGACTTCATTGCCTTTTGTTTCTAAATGCATATCAGAAACAGATGCTTTGTACCCTTGCCTTGCATTTTCTAGAAAAATAAATTATACAACCTTTTGTCCAGTTAACATGTAATGAATTTCATTGGTCCTGAGAAGAATGGGTTTCACGTAGCTGCTTTTTTATTGTCTCTGTTATATACTACTGGGGGGAAATTAGAGTTTTTGTGTCAAAAACACAAAACAGCTGACTGGTCAGTGGGGCATAGGAAGAGAGCCTGCTGATGTGCCTGCATGCTGTCTTCTGTTCCACTCCTACCCTCTTGTCATGTGAGATATATGCATTGACAATGGAATGCCTGCTTTTGAAACAACGTATTTACCACGTTCCCTTGACAAATGGTTAAACCCTCCAACTCTGCATGCGCTTTGAGTCACCCAATGTTACTTCACCACACATTCTGTAGAGTGCTATAAGTTTTCTGTTTAAAAAAACATTGGCAGGTGGGACAAGGTATAGAGATGAAAAACAAGTGAAACTTGTTACAGTTCCTTGACAATGAATTTCACTGAAATCAGTGTGGATTGTCTGCATAAAAATTGTATTGTAAGTCTTCAACATAGTTCAAAGTGTTTTCTGCTTGTTGATGTTTTATATTCTGCAGGAACAGATGTTGTCGTTGTTAAAAATGGACGACGAGTATGCGGTACAGGGGGTTGCTTAGCTAATGCTCCTTTGCATCAGAACAAGAGCTATTTTGAGTTTAAAATCCAATCTACAGGTCAGTCAAAAAGTAGCTTTTTCAAGAATTAATTTCACATTACTCATATAGAATCAAAATATCTGTATTGGCTATATAGATAGACTGCCATTTGGAAATTCACACACACACACACATATACATATATATATTAAATACTATGAACAGTGTTGTAATGGCTGTTTGAAGATTTCTAATCCTCACATAACTTGATAAGTAGAATCATAATGAAATTGTATCTTCATCCACTTATTGCTGTTTTCAATGATCATTCAGTTAGGAAAAGTTCAGCTATATAATTGCATGTGCAAATTTCAACTATTATAATTATCAGCTTTCATTTATGAATATTTTTTCACAGCAATGAAATATTAAGTTTCACTATCTTCATTGGAGACAATTTAGAATTGCTTCTTAGTGTGGACTTATTTTCCCTGTTTTTTATCTCATGATTATGCCATTCCATTTTTTGCCTCTACTGTGATTTCAGGAATCTGGGGTGTTGGAGTTGCAACTCAGAAAGTCAACTTGAATCAAATTCCTCTTGGGAATGATGTGAATAGTCTAGTTCTAAGAAATGATGGGACTCTTTACTACAACAATGAAGAAAAAAACAGATTGCCAGCAAACAGTCTGCCACAGGAGGGTGATGTTGTAGTGAGTTTTGATTTTTTTTTCATTATCATTTATGCAAATCAAAATACCTGAAAAGAATGTGGTCTATTGCTGAAATCTCATACCAGCAATTGCTCTATATCAAAACATACCTTTATATGTCTCTTTTATGTCTGGTTTGGTTAAACCATTAGCTTACAAAAATTTAACATACATGTCTTTGAAAAACTGGCAACATACATCTGTACTGAAACAGACAAAGTATACTGAAGTCATTCCCTTTTCACTTAAATATAATTCTAATAAAAGATAAACGAGGCAAAAATTGTAGGAAAAATATTAGTTCAACATAGCACAGCATTGACAAAAACATGTTAGTAGCAGAGCTTAAACATTACAAGTAGTACTTTATTTATAAACAGATTACATTCCAAGAGGCTGTTCATAAGTCCATTTTATTTGTAAATCCAAGCATACATATAACCTTCTTCTGACTTCTGAGACCTAGATTGGAGTTGCAGACAGGTTTGTTTATATTGGCAAAAGTTCGTAAGTAATGTCTGTCTCGCTTAATAGGTATTATATAATGTGGCTCAGGCACAGATTGTTTTTTATATTGTTCCCAAATAAATATATCCTTCATATTGCATGTTTCATCAAAACTCAATAGATAACATTTTTTGACCAAATTATAAAATATTTGTGTGTGAAGCATCATTGTCAATGTTTAGTTTCTTAGGATAGGTTTAAAATGATAAAATCAATAATATAGGTAGAACTTTTGTTGCTTTCTAGACATCTACCTAAGAATCCGATAAGGATTTTATTATTAACTGTCCTCATTTTATGGTCCTTCCTGCTTCCATGGATTCCAATAATAAGTAAAGAACCTCTATCTAATTAGTTGTTAGTTCTTCTTTCTCATATTTTTGCTTTTTTTATAAAAACAAAACCATGACCAAATATTTCTTTTGTAAATATTTTCTATAATTAGCTAATATTCTAATCAATTTAAATATACTGGGCCCAGTGCTCTTCAACACTTCAGCACTGGGCCCAGTGCTCTTCAACATCGTCATCAACGATTTGGACGAAGGGATAGATGGGGAACTCATCAAATCTGCAGACAACACCAAGCTGGCAGGAATAGCCAACACTCCAGAAGACAGGCTTAAGATACAGAAGGATCTGGACAGACTTGAACACTGGGCACTAACTAACAAAATGAAATTCAATGGTGAAAAAAGCAAGGTTCTACATTTAGGCAAGAAAAACCAAATGCACAAGTACAGCATAGGTGGCACCATGCTCAATAGTAGTAACTGTGAGAGGGACCTCGGGGTCCTAATAAACAATCACCTAAATATGAGCCAGCAGTGTGCTGCAGCTGCCAGAAAAGCCAACTCAGTGCTAGGCTGCATTAACAGAGGGATAGAATCAAGATCACATGAAGTATTAATACCACTCTACAATGCCTTGGTAAGGCCACACTTGGAATACTGCATCCAGTTTTGGTCACCACGATGTAAAAAAGATATTGAGATTCTAGAAAGAGTACAGAGAAGAGCAACAAAGATGATTAGGGGACTGGAGGCTAAAACATATAAGGAACAGTTGCTAGAATTGGGTATGTCTAGTTTAACGAAGAGAAGGACAAGGGGGGACATGATAGCAGTATTCCAATATCTCAGGGGATGCCATAAAGAAGAGAGAATCAAGCTATTTTCCAAAGCACCTGAAGGCAGGACAAGAAGCAACGGGTGGAAACTAATGAAGGAGAGAAGCAGCCTAGAACTAAGGAGAAACTTTCTGACAGTGAGAACAATTAATCAGTGGAACAGCCCGCCTCCAGATGCAGTAAATGCTCCAACACTGGAAGTTTTTAAGAAGAGACTGGACAGCCATTTGTCCGAAATGGTGTAGGGTTTCCTGCCTGAGCAGGGGGTTGGACTAGATGACCTCCAAGGTCCCTTCCAACTTTAGTACTACTACTACTACTATTATTATTATTATTATACAGGTAGTTCTTCCTCTGTCACATTCAGAAGCTGTGACATATATGGCTGAGTTTGATTTTCAGCACTGGAATAAAGTTTCATTATTCTTGTTTCTATTATGCCTTCTAAAATTCTGTTTCCGCTTGGAAGCCTTTTTTCCATTCTAAATTTGGATCCTGCTAAATTCTTTCTAAATTTTTTACAGACCATGTATTTTAAATTTCAAGGTATAACTAATTGAGTTTTCAGAGTCCTTAAAATTACAAATTCCAGGATGATGTAGTCACTGTTTTTAGTGTTCCTGCCAGTTGCAGCTCTGCATTTGGAATTTTGACAGCATACTATGAATACTGATAAAAAGACTATGGTAGGGAAACAACAGACTTCCAAAATAGGGAATTGCAGTCATCTACTTCCCCCCCCCCATCTAAGTCTGATTTAGCAGTTTATGTGGAGCATTGTTAGAAATCCAAAGTAGGATTGAAGTTGTGATGTTTTGCTTCAAGAGTATCCTTCTTAACTTTACCTTATGTCTATAGTAGAGGGCAAGAATTTTCTATTTTTTCATCTTTCTTAAATGCTTAGTATTTGATATTGTGATAATTTTAATTTTATTGTTTTCTGAGACTAGCATCGCTTCAATTGGCAGTGAATAATTTCATATTGTGGGGAAAAAGAGGAGGAAGAAGGAGTATTATGTACATTTAAAGTTACTTATAGATAAAGACGGGATAAAAATGTATTAAATATCTGCCTAAAAATGTTCAGAATAAAATGTATGAATGTACCGTATATTCCGGCATATAAGGCAACCCAGCGTATAAGACGACCCGTCTTCAGCGCCGAGTCGCATGCCTAGAAAGTCATCTTATACACCGGAAAGTACCGTTATTTCCGGCGTATAAGACGACTCAGCGTGTAAGATGACCCCCGTCTTCGGCGCCAATTTTAAAGCTTGCGAAAGTCGTCTTATACGCCGGAAAGTACGGTATGTATGTATGTATGTGTATAGGTATGTATGTGTAGGTATGTGTATATATGTATGTGTATATCCAATTAAAACAAACAGGATGAACATTTATATATAAAATTCATATCTGTCTTACAGGGAATTACATATGACCATGTAGAACTAAACGTTTATTTAAATGGAAAAAATATGCACTGTCCAGCCTCAGGAATCAGAGGAACAGTCTTCCCTGCAGTCTATGGTAAGGAGACATTCTTACAATCTATTTTAGTGAATGAAATGTTACACTTGACCTGGGTTCACTACCTACTCATTCATAAACTGAATTGGATAATTGGGCTAAATCGTCATCTTTACCACTCTACTGAATACTTCTTCTTTTTTTTATCACAATTTTATTAAATTTATATAGGTAAGGAAAAATAGGAAGAATGCAGGTGTGGTAAAGGGAAGGGTAAAAAGGAAAGGGGGAGGGGAAGGAAATAAGGGATTAGGGTAAAAAAGGATAGGTACAATCACATATTTGAACAAATAAGCAACTGTCTGGTTCATAATAATGAGTAAGTATCATATTCAACCATTTTTAACAAAGCTTAAACTATAACATATTAAAAATAATTAGTAAACAAATACATTGATCTATTAAGTAAACACTACTAATAAAATCACCAAAAAAATGAAATAAAATAAAAAATTAAATCCTAACAATCAAAAGTAACAAATGAAAATCAGTAAATCAGGAAAAGTAATCGTATCATCAAAATGTTAGTTAGAACTCGATTAAAAATCAGTCATCTATTCTAAAATATTAAATCCTTCAAGTTCTAACGTGTCTCTAACCATTGATAAAATTTTTCCCAAGTTCTAAAATAAATAGAATCATCTTTTTCTTTCATTTCTAATGTTAGTCTATCCATTTCTGCACACTCTAGAATTTTGGTAATAATAATCTGGTCAGATGGTAGATTCTCATTTTTCCAAAATTGGACAAATACTATCCTTGCAGCAGTTAAAACATGCAGTATCAAGTAGTCATTCTCTTTACCATAATTAGGTCTTAATGTTCCTAACAAAAACAATTCTGGTTTAAATTCTATTTGTAGTTTCATCATCTTTTCCAACCATCTATGAATCTTAGACCAATATTTCTTAGTGATAGGGCATGTCCACCAGGCATGGTAATAAGTGCCTGGCTGTTGTTTACATTTCCAGCAAAAATCCGAAACATTTTTAAACCTTTTCGCTAAGCGAACTGGTGTCATATGCCATCTATAGAACATCTTATATAAGTTTTCTTTATATGCTACCGCTTCTGTAAGCTTAATGTTTTTATCCCAAAGTTTTTGCCAGTCTTCCAAATCTATAGAATATCCAAAGTTCTTTGCCCATACTATTCTGCTGAATACTTCTTATGTGCCTGTTAAATTTCTGTATGTCACTTATTTCAGCACAAAAGCCTAAAAATGTAAAACATATAGCTATGTCACTGACAAGGCAGCAGAAAAGTCAGGGTTAGTAAACTACTTATTATAGATTGCTAAATGACTCTCTGTGGCTTAACAGCTGAAAAAAAAAACACATATAAAAGAATACAGCTGATCAATAGAACATAATAACAAAACAAAACCAAGACAGATCAAACCAAAATCAAAGGGGCTCTATAATCAGGTCCCCAAGGCCTGTGGAAACAATCTGAATTACACAAGGGGGGGGGGGAGGAAGCAGACAAATCTCCGTGGGGAGATCATTTCAGAGGGCAGGAATGGCAACGTCTCTGCAACACACTTCATCTCATAGAAAGCCTGAACACCCAATGAGACTTGCAGTAATAATCAAAGAGCATTTGAATGTAATACATCTATCTTCTCTTTTTTCCCCCCTTACAGTTGATGATAGTGCCATTTTGGATTGTCAGTTCAGTGATTTCTGTCATGCTCCTTCTGCAGGTTTTGAAAAGATACTCTTTGAACAGCAGATTTTCTGAAGGTTCCTGCTGCAGATTGATTAACTAGCACTTTTTACAACCCATTCTTTCAAACTTCACATTATTCCCACAATATTAATGTTGCATTTGATTAGTCTATTTAATGTTTGGGAAAATATCATTTTATCTAGAAACTATGTTGCTGGTTTAGATTTTCCTACTGTTTGTGATATGGATAGTATTTGTATTTGATGTAAAGAGATAAAGCTGACAGTATTTAGTGACCATGGACTCTTAAGAATGCTGTATAATATGCTATACACTAAAATTGTTTTGTAAATGTTGCATATCCATAATATAGCAGAGTCTAATGGTTATTCAGCAATGTTTCTCCAATATGTGTAGTAATTAGAGAAAGTAATTACAAGTATTTTGAGGATAACAACAGTGAAAACATTGATACCTGTTATCCTTTTTAAGCACTGGGGTTCTAATGTTTATTTCTGAGCATTTGTGTTAAAATTAGAATAAATTGCTGACTATTAAAAGCCAGGCTGCTGATATCTATTGTACAAAAGCTTTCAATGGAACAAACAAAATAGTACCGAATAGCCTGTTACTTGTTGTGATAAAACTTTATTTTTTTAATTCTTGATTACATTTTTGGAGTTCTCCAAAAATATAAAATGTACAGGCTGCTCTTCTATTCATTTTTATGGTTATTTTAAATTGCTTTTCTTGTGCACTGAGAAAATATATACAGCATTCTTGTACATCCAGAACTATGAAACCTGCTGTAAGGAAATTGCTATATCAGAATTATAAGCCTTTGTCCTTGTATTTTGTTGTGAGAGGTAGGGAGTGGAAATAACTTTCTGAGATTCTGTTGTCACATTTCATATATTTAACTATACCATGGCAAATAAGTGAAAAGGTGATTTGCTCTATTTTGTTATATAGGCTTTGTAGTCTTAAGAGATTGAAGGAATGTGCATTCTTCATAATATACTAATGTTAGAAAAACTTACCTATTACCTTTATTATTCCTCAGGGAGGTGTCCTTTTTCAGGCCTTGTAGGAAATTCTTTTCCAACAGCCAATTACAAATACACATATGAATTTAGTTTGTGCTATTGGCAAATATTCTGGAACTACAAAATCCACACTTGGAAAGATATGTATAAAATGCTTACTATGCTACTATAAAGTTGATCCTCTTAAAATTAAAGATAGTTTATTCTAACATATGTGTAAAGAACATCTCTTTTGGTTATTAGGGCATTTGAAAAGATGAAAAAGTTGTAGCTGAGAAAATAAATCTAAAATATTTTTAGAATTCAATTTGATTTAAAATGCATTCCCAAATTTTAAATATATGCTATCCTGGATAATTTTTATTTCATGCTCTTTTCCTTGTCCTCTTAAAAGCATCTGTTTGGCTACAGCAGAGATAGCATATTTTATTTATAATATTAAATATGAATTTAACCTCTACCATTTTAATATTTTGGCCTCTAATCTAGTTTTTGTTCAACCATGTTTACTCTTGTGATCTTCAAACACTACATAAATATGAATGTGATCCTCAAGTCAAAACAGATTTTCCTCCATTGTGTTACTGGAAGTCTGATAACACGTTTTGGGATTTAACCTATTCTGTATCTTCAATAGCATATTTATTGAACATTTCATATATTATCTGTCAATATTAAAGGTTTTACAAACCATCACATTTTCTGAATGTAGGTTTTCAAAATAAATTGTTGCTTATGTACTCTCTAATAAAATAAGCTTAAAGAATCTGTAGAACTGCCTCAAAACCTTCAAATTAAAATCATGATCTGGACAGTCACATCTTGAAAGTAGTGGTTTTACAGTTCCTGGATTGGGTAGAAGGATCGTCTATTTAGCTATAAAATCAAGAAGAGAAGCAATCTAGAATTAAGGACAAATTTCCTGACAGAAAACAATCAGTGGAATAACTTGCCTCCAGAAGTTGTGAATGCTCCAACATTGGAAGTTTTTAAGAAGAGGTTGGACAACTATTTGTCTGAAATGGTATAGGGCTTCCTGCCTGAGCAGGGGGTTGGACTAGAAGACCTCCAAGATCCCTTCCAACTCTGTTATTCTGTTAAATTGTTGCATCCCTTTTCAATGAGCTTTCAGGGTGTAGATTCCAACATTTTGTTCTTATCAGGCTGTTAGAAAATAAAAAGATTCTGTTCTAAGGTTGTATTCATAAAACCAAAATATAAGCTCTCCATCCTCTCTAGATTTGGAGTACAGCTATTTCATAATATGAGTATTTGCTGCATTCTATATCTCAACTAAAACCATATACAATAGAATTGAAACAAATTAGAAACCGAGACCTTTCTCATTCTGAAAGAATGGATCCTGGGATGTTGTATACCACGTCATGTTAACGCTAAACAGTCATTTCAGGATGATATAAGTAGTCCTCAACTTGTGACCATAATGGATTCCAAATTTCATTGTTAAGGAGTGGAAATTAGAAGCCATCCATGTGGCTGACCCAATATTATGACTTTTGAGGGGGCAGTCATTAAGTGAACGCCATGGTCCTTAAGCAAATCCATTCCTATAAGCATTTTCTGCCAGAAACCATCTGAAAAGGCTGAAAACTATATTTAAAAAGTATATTGCTGTCATAGGACTGCAGAACACTGCAACCAGCCATAAAGGTGAGCTGATTGCCAAGCTCCCAAAACGCAGTCATGTGACCATGAAGAGCCACTTTCAGTATCCCAGAACTGTGTTATAAGAAGCTTGGGGGGGGGGAGAGTCTTTTATAAGTGGCTAATTATAAGAGTCTTTATAATAAGTGGCTAATTGTTAAGGGAGGGCTATCTGTACAGTGATTTATCAGTTAACTCTCTTGGATTTGTTTGGAGAGCCAGTCTGGTCTAGTGATTAAGTGCTGGCTTGTGAGTTCTAGTCCCACCTTAGGCGTGAAAACCAGTAGGTGACTTTGGGCCAGTCACTCTCTCTTAACCCAATTCACCTCACAAGATTGTGGGAAAAACAGGAGGAGGAAGGAGTATTAGGTATATTTGCCACCTTGAGTTATTTATAAAAACAATAAAGGTAGAATATAAATAAAATCAAAGTAAATATTAGCCAGAAAACATCATCATTCTCTAGCAAATCAATGTAATCCAAGATTTTAGAATTATTTTATATCACTGCTAGTTGCTCAAGTATCTTCCTGCAAATAGAGTAGCTGCAGTTGACTGATAGGTGTTATGATTTTCACAGTCCAAAAGAGTCTTTTAGAGATTGGTTGTGTGAGCATGGCCTTCAAGTAACTGAAAACTTTAAAAAAAAATCAGTTCATAGACAGAGCCAATCTTTGATTAGTGTTATTAGCCTAAAAAACAGCAATCATTAAAATGTCTGTAATTTTCCTTCAAAGAACCTTACACATCTTTGGTGTAGCTTTCTATATCTCTTACTGCCATCCTATGGTTGTGTGAGTGGTAGCTATACAGATGAGGGAGCCTTTTTTGTGTGTACAGTAGTTGAAAATATGAAAAAAATTACAGATTTTGATGGACCACCTCTCCCCAGGTATCTCTACTCGCTCCACCTAATTTGGCAGAATGAACTGGTCCCATCAAGAATGTCCTCTTAAGGGGCCCAGGAAGAGAATGGTTTTGGTTATGAGAGAATGGTTTTGGTTATGCTGCCTACCTTTGGGGACATCATCTCCACAGAGATTAGATTAGCCCTGACTGCTAGTTTGTAAGGGTCTTTGGCAATACCTTGAAGATATGGCTGTGTTTCTGGATTTGGGGGTTGGAAACAGAGCCCACAAAGTGATTAGGTTGATTGCTCTTTTATCTTGGCAGCTGATTATTACTTTTTGTGTTTTTAACTGCTGTTAGTCACCCATACTCACAGTTATGAGATGGCAGTTATATAAATTAAAATATATGTTAAACTGTTTGAACTGCAGCATTTTAAGATAGCAATTTTATTCAGTGACAAATATCTCTTAGTAGGACTTTGAAAGTGTTGATATTAAATCATGCAAAGAAGAAAGAAAAATCACACTTTGAGGATACTAATATCACTGCCATTAAATCAACAGATTTGCTTCTGATCAAACTTGGAGATTTGTTTTTTTTTTACCTTGTATTCCAACTGTCTCTTTTATCTGTTTATTCTCCACTAACTCATAAAGCCAACTGCTGCCTTTGTTAGAAGAAAATACTTAAGTGTGATTATATTAACTATCCATTGGAATTTCTGCATTTCATATACCAGCTAGGACCAACAATTGGAAAACTTCTAGAGTTTCAGAAATCCCTCAGGATCTACCAGTTTCCAAGGATGGATTGTCCTAACTCATCCTCCATTTGTACAAAGTATTAAAATCTAAGTTGCAGTAAAAAATGGCCTTACCATGGTAAGGTCAGAGCAAATTTCTGTTTTATTGCAAACATCAGAACCATAATAAGTCCATCAGTTGTATCTCAGAGATGGTTGTCTTACTGGGCAGCCTCATGCCAGAGCATGAAGGATGAATTTATCCATCTTGTGATCCTCAAGGCAGGTTTTGAAATGATCACACAGCTGTTGACCCATGGGATTCTTTAATAGGCTTCCTAATATTGCCAGGTACCCCAATATGTGGGGCAAAGACTAATTCAATTTCCAACAGGAAGCTCTACTGAATATTCATGGAAAAAAAATCAAGTCTTACAAATTTTGTAGGTGAGCACAGTATTATTTGCAGTGAGCGTTTAACTGTTGCTTTATATGGCAAGTTTAACAAGAAACATCAAATATATTTGTTTAACCACAGTTTCTTCAATAAGACAAAATTAGTTGGATTCCTTCCTCGCCACAAATGATTGCCCTTGACTTATAAGACGTAAATTCACCAAGGCCACATAACTGCTTCGCACTCTGGGCAAATGCATCCTTTCTGCTGATCCAAAAAGCCCACCGCCCGTCCTTTTACGATGGCTGCTAGCTAAGCTCTTCCCTGGGATCCTCAGTGTGAACTTCAGTAACTTAGCGGACTTCAGCCAGGTTCGGGGAAAACTGAGCAACTACTTCTCCTTCAGCTTCTACTTTCCCGCTTATTCAGGCTGCCCCCAACCCTCGATTTCTGCGCCGCACATGGACAGCTGTCATTTCCGCTCAGAAAAGCGAGTGGAAATACCTCCAACCCTACCCAAGCAGCCTCATCCCCCGATCCACTGGAGCTTCGGAATTTCTCCCTGCTCTTGCAACAGTCCAGCCGGCTGGGCGCATGCGCCGTCCTCCGCCGTTTCCCGTTTGTTTCGTCACTGAGCGTCTGTCTGCTCGTTCCGCGCCCCCCCGCCCCTTTCGCGCGCGCGCGCTGTCGTCGCTGCTTCAGCCCAGAGCCGCTGCCGCCGCCGCCGCCGTCGTCATGGCTGACAACGCCGCCGCCGGCCTGGAGAACCACCGCTTCAAGAGCTTCAAGAATAAGGGCCGCGACGTGGAGGTCTGTGCCAGCCTGGGACAGTCCCTTTCCGTCTCGTGGGGGAGTGACCGGGTTTTACTTTCTCAGCCCGCGGGAGGCGGGTGGCTCTGCGACCGGTGGTGGGACCATGTAGGCAGACGCACCGACATACGTACCGCCTCCGCCATCTGCTGCTGGGCCTGGCCTGGTTCCCTCTTCCCACCTCGACCGGGCCGGCATGGGGGAATCCATCCCTCAAGTGGGCGGGCAGCGGGTTTATCAGGTTCCCTTTGTGATTCGGCTCCTTCCCCAGACTTGAAGGGAGTCTGAGCTGATCGGGCTTGCTTTGAATTGTTTGTCCATGAGATACAATAATAATGCTGGCATGGCGAGAGGGTGATTAGTCCTATCAGTCTTGCTCACCTTCTGGTAGTGGGGAAGCAGGTCGTAATCTTTATTCTGATTCTTCACCAAGGACGCTGAAATGTGGGGCTTGGCCGATCTTCTTTGTCCTTTATCATCCCCCCAGAATAGTGTACTGGGTGGATTCCGAATGAGATACTTGGGAGAGCTCTGACAGCCTATTTCTGTCACTTCTTTAGCTTCCTTATTAATAAGGCTTTGGGAAGAGATTTACAATGTCTCTTTTTGCTTTCGTAATTACTTCTGATGCACCTACTATAAATCTCGGTGTAATTCCTATCAAGTTTGATTTTTTATTGCTCCAGTGTATTGCAGCTTTGGATACATATATAGTCCACTGGATTGGTTTGAGTCATTGCTTATTTTCTGAACAAAACTTAATTTTACCCCCTAAACAAAGGCTTAATTTGAGGTATGAGTTACAGTACACCATTTTATATTGGTGATATCACTTGCTCCTTAACAAAAGTAACCTTTTGTATTTTTACCTGGAGCAGTGTCTCACAACTACACATGTAAGAAGGAAGAATAAAATTCAAGTTGTTCTCCATGAGTTCAATTTTCTGCAACTGTATTCAGATTTAAAGATAGGAAGTGATAAGAATAGCTTGAGGAATATGGAATATGGTAATATAGTCTTGGGCTGAGTTGTTTGGTTTTGACTTAGTTTATGCACAAATAACCATAGGTTATGACTTAATATATTATAGTAGCCAGTTAATTTTAAAAATTAGGATTAAACAAACCATGACAGGAGCATTATGTACACTATCTTGAGTTGTGCAGGTACAGGTAGGATATAAATCTAATAATAAATGTAAGAGATAGACTATATTTTTAATTATAGCTGATTTGTTAGGCTTTATAACAAATAGAATTCAAGTTTTTTTTTTACACAAGTGTAGTATGTATTTTTGATTTTATACTT